ATTATACCCCGAAAAGAGACTTATAAAAATTTAACCAGTTGAAAATAATCCTGACTATAAATATTTGTAATAGTTATCAGAATTAAAACTATACAGATAATTTACTAGTGTGAAATTATTAAACAGTGCATAATTTTTTTAAAACAAAATATGAATCAACAGGAAGAGTTTTGTGTAATTGTGGCTTATTTTGATAGTTTTACTTATTTCGATAGGATACAGCAAAGAGGGAGCATCAAAAGGCAGGCAGGGCTGACCGCCCTTTTAAAAACGCTTAAGGAGAAACTATAGATTCACAAAAACAAGACCCTGATAATTTTCTTCATAAAGCTTACATCCGACACATTTGTAAACCACTTTGATAAATGTTCTAAGAAAAAACAAGCAAAAAAATCATCCTAGTTGGCCATACAGCCTAATGTGAGTCAATGCCTTCCTCTGAAGATTTCTCCATGATGACTTCCGATTTATCTTTGATCTACAATTCTTTTCAATAATTGCGAGAAAATCAAACTCCACTGAGTCAGCCCATCTCAACTGCGGCCTTCCCCGCTTTCTTTTTCCAGTGAGTCTAAAAAACAGTATCTTTTTATTGTGTTGTCATCACCATTCGAATCACGTAAGTAAAAAATATTGTTCTAAGATAATTTTTTGCTACGCTACAAAGACGCAGGTTATAAAAAAGGAATACTTTGAAATTAAAGACTAACATTGATATCGCAGAAATTGAAGAGCGTCGATCGTTAGTGATAGTTAAAACATTCAATAAAATTGAAATTATTGTACATTTATCAGCGATACTATATTTAAGGGTCATTAAAAAAATGAGCACGATAATTGACTCAAATTATTATGAAAAGTAAATCGGATACTTCTTTTTCATAAATTTTAAAATACACCTCTCTTCGTAAGACCTAGTTTTTGGTTCTCAAAAACTAGACCTCAGTTCCACACATGCACAAAATTAGTACTCTGCCAGGAAGAACTAGATTCNTCTATTTAAAAAAAAAAAAAAAAAAAGACTTTTCCCAAATTTACAAAATTGAAACAATACAAAAAGCTTGGTCAGACCACTAATTTGCGATTTCACAAAATCAGAACCATTCTCAAAATTCAAAAATTGCTTTTACAAATTCACAGAAACTGACCTTTAACTAAGCCATGGACGGTCCTTGGTATTTATTCCAGACAGGAACACTAATTACTTATAAAAACGTATTAAACTGTTCAGTATGGGGCACAACCTTTTATTCAAGACAATAAATTTAGTTCTGGAATTTAGTGTTTTAGTAAAATAAAAATAACTTCATTCTTTCGTAATAAATTTTTTTTAAAAAAACAGGTACAGCAAGTTGTACATGTATAATTTTCATAAAATAAACATGATTTTTTTTACAAGATTCGCATGTGATGGTTCATTTTTTAAGCAAAAAATATGAAACATTTGATACTAGAATTGATGCCTGGAATATTATGTCAGCTTTTTAAAAATATTGAAATTTATGTTTTGTATGACGCAGTATTGAATACTTTTTGGCTAAACAATTTTATGTCAATTTTCGGAACAAAGAGAAAACAAGAAGTTCTATTAATGGATATTTTATTTCAGATAACTGAGTGAAATCTTATAAAGCGTAGTTCAATAATTTATAGTTTCAGAGCGTAATTACGATTTAATTTCTTTTAACTTCTGATTTTAACTATCCGTTTACAACAAATTTATACACAACTAAACTATTTTAAAACAAGGCATCAATTCATAATGTTCTGGAAGTTTTTATAGAAATTTCTTCAAAACTCGTACAAAAAATGTAATCAACTATATAACCATAACTGTTTGATTTAATGAAGCTCAAAAAATACAAAATTAGAGACTAGTTTTATAAAAGAACAAAACCTTGAGTAAAGATAGGAAGTTTCTAAGATAAGTCGCTCTTAGGGAGTAAATCTACTAGAGTGCAGTTGTTAACCATATCTTTGTAATGTTTAAAATTTAATGCAACCACTACTGGCACACGCTAACCACTGTACTGGCATTGAAACAAATAAATCAACAGGGGATTACAGATTTTATGCTTTGTGCTGTGCAAGAATGTTAGAAACCAGTTAATGTTAAAAAGTTTGAACAAATAAAACAAAAAAATTCATTGTTAATTTTATTAATAAACTACAAAGTTATGCGATTATAGAGCAGTGATTAACCATAGTTAACTAGACAGTTTTAACACAGCGGTACCCAAATGTTGCTCCGCGGAACTGTAGGGTTCCGTGGAAGAGTTAAAGACGTTCAGAGAGTACTTCTGGTTCGACCAGCAGCCTTAAAAACCTTTAATAAATAGGTCCAAAAGTTATTCATGTCATATTTCGGTAGCCTTTATAAAATTACTCAAGGCAAAATTCCATTGAAAAATAATTTCATAAATATAATTTTTCTAATAGTAGTAGATTGAATAAATAATGAAAAAATCATGCACTTATAAAACTTTCATTATTATTTTTTTTTAAGTTTTCAAATGAAAATTTGTTAAGAAATAGGTTTCCCTAATAACGATTTTCAACTGTTACAACAAATAGTTAAAGCTTTTATTTCAAAGAAAGCTATATTTCTGTTTTTTTCAGCTCCAAAAATACACTACAAAATCAAGAAATTTATAACTAGATTCAGCCCCGAGACATAGTTTTTATCTCCGACAGTTAAATTCGAACTCAAGATTAATAATAAAACAAAACATTCCAGTCTTCTAATCAAGTATTTTTAAAATATATTTTTTTTGGTAAATAGGTTCGCTATTTTCTTTATTTACTTTATAAAGTTAGGGTTCCATTGCAAAAAAAAAATTTGGGAACTGCAAACAGACTCCTGACTTCGTGACTGAATTTTTATCATGAATCAATATTTTGCAATAGTTTAAAACTACGTTAATTTGTTCGACATGAGGAATAATCTAGTTATAATTCGAAGTCTATAAGTTGGTATCGCTCAAATTTTATGAATGCTTCGTTTTTGTGAAACTTTAAAAATCAACAAGATCCTGTCTTGTGAGAAAAAGAAACATTTTTTTTTTTTCAGTTTTTAAATTGGGAATCAAAGAAGTCGTCCATTTTCAAGTGAAAAGTTTTGAGAAGGGCCAACTTAGTTAAAAAACTGACCAGTGAATAAATACCTTCAGATAAAATATTTAACGTAGGACTCGTTAACGAACCCAAAGTTCTCCTTAACTGATACTCGATGAGTGAAATTAACATCTAACAGAACAACTTAACTAAAATTTAATTAGTAAACTAAAAGAAAGAATTGCATAAATTAAAGTTTAGTTTTACAGCATTACATTTTCCAACTCTTATACTTCGGAGACTTGCGAAAATAAAATATAGCAATGATATTCCAGGGAGCTTAATTCCATTTACAAAAAAGGGAAAAACTTCAATACTAGATCGCACCTCAAGGGAAATCAGGATGATTGATAACTTCATTAGGGAATTTCGATCCAATGCACACATTGCTTACAAACAAAAATTGCCAAATTGAAATGGGTGTATCGAGGGGGAAAAAAACGCTAGTTTTATGTTTGGCTTCATTGAGTTTCGCAACTAAGTTTCTTTATCAAGACACGCAGATATGAACAACAGATGGGGCCGTTACAACTCGTTGCTCCAGCTTATCCAATAACGTAAGAGGGGGGTAGAGCCAGAGGGGGCAAAAGGTCAAACAGCTGTTACTTTATTATGAAGAGATACCACACACAATACTAATGTTTTGAAAGACCTTGCTTCAAATCAGACACACCCACGCAAATTCAATAGATATAAGCACAATTGATGTTTAAAATAATTTAATCTGTATTTAATTTAAAAATTATACTTCAAATAAAATAGAATTCAATTAGCATTTAATATAAAACAGGGGGAAATCTAGACGATATGAAAAATATTATAATTTGAATAGGTTAACATTTAATTAGTTTGTAAAAAAAATTTTTTAAATCTAGCACTAGAATCTAGTTCTGCCTAGCCCGCCAAAGCCCTTATTACGGCGAAAAAGATCTGTTTTTCAAAAATGTCAAGGTTTTTGTTCAAAAAACTGATTTTAGGAGAAATTTGGGCTCAGAAAAAGAACTTTCACAAAATATTTAATCTGTAAAAAGGGCTCTTTACAAAACTTCATTTAAAAAACTAAATCAACGACTATTCAAAATTTTAAGACTGAAAAACATTGTGAAAAATAAGGCTTAAGTTTTTCCAAATACATAAAAATGAATAGATTTTCATAATTTTAAAAACGGACTATCTACAAAATTTTTGTTAACAAGTTACTGGTTAGCGATTTTTCACATAAGTATTAATAGATTTTTCATAATAGACAAAAAGCCTGCGCAAACCCTGACTAATAACGTTATTGAGTCCATATTTTATTTTTAAAAAAATAATTTTTTGAAAAGACTTTTGAATGCAATGTAATTATTTAGTTACTTTATTAACCCTTTGACGCAGAATTTTTATTCAACTTTTTCTCTACCTTATTAATTTGTTATAATAAGGTTCAAAATAAAAAATCATATTTGACAATTTAAAAAAAATATGGTTATGAAATAGAACATGAAATTGGTGTATTTTATAGCATTAAAGATAAAATCTTCCAAACACTGCTCACTTCCAAATAGTTTTTAAAATCTGCACTTATTTAGAACTAATAGAAACAGTAATTAATCATTAAAATTTATTTAAATTACAAAATTGATAAATTTTTGAACATGAATGAAGAAAAAATTAAAACTCTTTTGCATTTAATATTTTAGTACAAATATAATCCCAATGGTAAAGCATTCTTTTGGTAACTATTAAGCTTTTTGAATTTAAAAAAAGCGAAAATATAATTTTCACTTGTAATTACTGAGTTAGAAATATATTATATATATGTGTGTGTTAAAAGGGACATCTGCATCAAAGGGTTAAAAGCTCACTAATTCGTAACTCACGGATGAAAAGGTGTTGGAGCTTACCTGTGACTTTGTCCCTGATAAGCTTGCAGGATTCCACTTCTCCAATAGAAGAGAATAAGGACCTGATCTCTTCCTGGGTCATTGTCTGAGGCAGGTAATTAACGATCAAGTTCGTCTTAGAGTCTTCAGTCGATGTACCCGTCTGCACTGAATTGTGCAGCCCATTCTGCTGCTGCGAAGATACAGGAGATGTATCCATTCCATTCATCTGGACCACTGCAAATAAATATTTAATCAACAAACATGAAAACCTAGCTTGTACAGGGAAACTAAATTTCAAAAATAAAGAGCAGTAAAGAAATATATATTTAGCAAATGATTGAAATTTTTACTACACCCGAAAGTACTATTTCATCCGGAAGCGTAGATTCCACGAAAAAATAAAAGATGCAACGGTGTGAACTTGCGATTATTTACTTTTGTTAACTTAGTCTTTATATACTTAATTTCGTATCTACTAAGGACAGTTTTACAACATTTGCTTCAATAGTTACAGAATGGTTTAGTTTTTAACCACAAGACCGGTTACAAACATGCGTTGCCGTATATTTTTGATATCCAACGTTCTATGTTGTTGTTGACGTATGCCTGTTTAGGCAGAGGGGGTGCGATTGTTTTTGTTTTCCAGTGGAGCCATCTATGGCCGAGAATTCGACTTCTGCCACACCATACGTCGCACCCGTTTATAGGGCGAACCCATTCATACATCCACATATCGTAATTTTGACCTGAATTAGAGAACGATCAATCTCCAATCCAGTACCCCCAGAGCAGTGTTTTCATCTCAGAAAAAAAATGGGTGAGAATTTCTCACCCTTTCTCAAAAACAGGGTGAGATTTCAAAAAATTAAGTGAGACTTCAAAAATTAAAAAAAAAAAAAAAAACACCGAGAGACTTGAAAAAAAAATTATTTCTTTAATCATAATGCATTTTTAATATCTTCTAATTTTTAAAGCATTGAATATTTTTGCAGCATCATCAAATGGAAAATGTTCTACATCTACTTTTTCATCAGCTATTCTCATCAGGTTGCTCAAATGCGTATTTGTTTAGTTTTTATCGTTTCTACCCACATTTGTTTCATTTTCATTTGTCCGTTTCGGAGTAGAAGATATTGGCTTTACAAGGTATTTGTCCATCTTACATTAACGAGCAAAAAATTTGAACGTCTTACATGAAGAAACCTTACCTACGGTAAACACGTGGTTGCAGAGAAATGCGTTCTGAAAGAGGTTCCGTGGTTCGGAAGGATGGTGTTCTGTTGTTCTTAAAGGTTCTGAACAATACTGGTAAATAGGGAAGCTAGATAATGGGGCAGATGTTGAAAATAATAAAAGATCCAGGAAGAAAAGTGATTGGTTTATAGAATGCGTGAATTTCTCGCGGTTATCATTTTTTAATGCGAGAATATAAAAAAATATGCGAGATTCTCGCGTTCTCGCGCTGTAGTGAAATCACTGCCCCAGAGGTATTGATTTCATTCTATGGAATACCTAAAATCATCCAGTATAACTTTCAAGTTATAGATTTATATTTCATTTATTGCCTAGACTCTCGATGGCATTACTAATGAAAAATCTCTAGGCATTCTATGAATGACTTGGTGAAGTTACAATAATGATTCATTTATTTCACATTTAACCTTAACATTCCAGGCCCTCATCGGATACATTTACGTCAACACATTTTGTGTGATAACTAAATTAAGAAAAAAAATCTAACAGTAATAACTGATAACTAAACAGAAAGTTAGAATTTAAGTATCCAGTAAGAGACTACGACGTAAAGTGACGATATTTTAACAATTATAAAACATTAATATGCATAGAAACACTGAACAAAACACAAAGTTTTATTCCAAAAAATACCTCAAGCACTTAGCAAAACAAAAATTTCTATGCTTATTGCAAACCATAGCGTCCTGTACTAATATTTTATTGACTTAAATTTCTCACTTCACAAAATTTCCTTTAAGTATGTAGAAAATTTTAATTATTCTAAATCATAGAGATTATTATTAAGCAAGCTTCGTGTAACAAAAATCAAATTATCTAAAAACAAATGCAACCAGAGTTAGTCTTAAAGGTTTATGGTTTAGTGTTAAACACTAAACCATAAGTAATATTTTGTTAGAAACAGATAGCTAATATCATAAAATAACAAGCTCTCAATTGAGTTTATCAACACAGGAAAAAGGAACAGAGTGTAAGGGAGAATGACGATTTTTTTAAACACAGTCTATTCCATTTTTGTGATTTACAAATCACATTGCGATTCATATTCACAAATCTCTCAATCGTGAGTTCTGAAGCTATGACAAATAGCATGGGAGATTACGCGGAGAATTTATATAGTTAGAAAACTTAGAATAAAGTAGCAAACCCCTTCTTTTGGTTGTCCATTGAATCAGATAAACTAGTTTTTTACCATTTACAAATTACTTTTCATAAATTAGGAAACTAACATATCTATTATCAGCGATAAACCATTTTGGGGAAAAGATCAAAAGTGTATTCCTAACTTTGCATTTTACTAGGACGATTAATGTCAGCAGTTATGATTTTTTATTACAAGATTCCAATATATCAGACGTTAGATCAAATCAAGTTGCATCACAGGTAAAAATTCTAAGAGAATAATTAGGGGGTTCAAACATGAATTATATTTTCCCAAGCTGAATTTGAGATAAGGGATCAAGAGCGGAGAGAGCAGCTGGTTATGGTAATTGCAAAATCAATGGACGAAAAGTACATTATGTACCGACCTCGCTGCCTCGGATGGAAAATTTGTAAGATAAACACATTAAAAACACATTTGCGAACAAAAACTATTCCGATTTGAAATTTGAGTAGTTGAAGTTTTATAGGGTTTGTATAATATTGAATTATGCGTAATTTGACAGGACAACTTAAAATTACAAAAAAAAAAAAAAAAAAAAAAAAAAAAAAAAAAATGACGGAAATATTCGAGCAGTTAACTGTACTTTAAAATATTGAACTGTATTTCAAATTTAAGAAATTTATTTAGTTAATTTAAGCAAAAGGAGTTAAAAGTTTGATGAAAAAGCAAGGAAGAAAAAATTTCTTCCATTCCAAGAGGTATGCATCTTTTTTCCTGGTTTTAGTTTCAATGATAATTTTTATCAGACAACACTATCAGGGGTCTGTCCAGACATTTTGTGAAAGGTCCGTTTTTAGTGAAATTGTGAAAAAATTACCCACATTCTTTCAACCAGGGTCCGTTTTTATGAATTTGTGCAAATAGAGTCCGGTTATTGCAAAAAACTTTTTCAAGGAGTTTTTAAATTGTAAATAGATACAAGATTATGCTCGGCACTGTAAAATTTATAATTAAAAAATTAAATTTTCAAATATAAACAGCAATTGCTGCTTCTAAATTAGAGATGCAACCTGCAAATATTTCGCATTTAGCCTATACTGCTGAACGCAGAATATTCATTTCGGACGAATAATGGAAGAATCGTCTGCCGAAGACAAAACTTAATTGATTTACATCCATCTTTCTTTTATTCGATTAACAAAACAATAATGAAGATAAACAAATTTGTGAAGGGTCCGATTAAAAGAAAAATCATTTTGAGAAGGGTCCGTTTTCATGAAAAGATATTTTGTGAAGGGTCCGTTAACGGACCCAAATTTCTTCTAAACAGACCCCTGACTATATACATACTTAAGAGAAAAGAAACTAATCTTAATTTTTCGGAATGTTTAATGTCCTTGTGGGTAGGGCAATAGAATAATGCAGCTGTGGCGTGTCGAACTGATACTGTTGAATGGCCATAACAGTCGAAATTAGCATAATGCATAGAAACAGGATTTGTTCCAGACTGAAATTGTGAATCTACTCCATTCTTAATTGTAAATTTCTGAATACAAGTTTTTGTTGGTGATTCAGTTAGGATCATAAGAGCTAGTGATCTATCTTTACTTTTTTAAAAAGGCCCTGTTCTCGCGATGTTAAGTTACGCTTTTCTGAATCCAAAGCTACCATGACATCTTTCTGCCAGGGTTGTACTTTTGTAGAATACCAGAAAAACCATCCATGGCTCATTTCAGACTTTAAGAAAGGTTCATCTACGACTAGTATATCTCTTATTAACAGTATGACTCCCCCACCAGAAATACATAAACATGCAGACAAGTGAAGGAATATAAACGTTAGGATTTTTTTCGAGAAATTTCTCATAACTAGCGTACAACTGATTTTACTGAAGCAGATTTTTGTTGATTTTTAATGAGTCATAATTTCCATACAATATTTTTTCTAATAAATATTTTTATAATAAAATACGGAAAATACAACATAAAACTCTTGCCGTCTTTAAAATGCATTTAAATAAAGATTAGAGTTTCTAAACAAATGTTGTTCATGCCTGAAATTCCGGTGTTATAAACAATTCTATAGGTAATTTTCGGTTAACTGTATGAAAGATTAGAATTACTAGGGGGCTCACCATTGTTCTCGGCAACAACCGAAACTGTTTTCGCATTTCTCTTTGGATTGCTAGAGTAATTACAACTCTTCACTTTCACATTAAACATTTTTATATTTTACTCTAGATTTGTATGCATGCTGATACTCTTACTAAAAATATGCAACATACATAGCCTGAGGCACATTATTTATAAGACATTTCAACTTTAATACTTTACGATTGCAGGTTTCCTAGTGTGACAAAGAAATCTAGGACAACATTTAAAAAAAAATCTTTTTCGAACATTTAAGAGATTTCTTTGAAAAAGGCAAACTAAAAAAAAAAGCTAAATTTGTTCTACTTTATGATAAAGGGTAATTTTGTCGCTAAAGAATGGCGAAATATACTCTTTTCAATATCAGAATTAATTAGTTTATAATAGAAAGTTAATAGTTTTCGGTTTTATTTAAGAACAAGACTTTCTTTAATAATTTTTAAAGTAAACCCGAAACAAAAAGTGAATATATCACTAAACATTCTTGTATCAAAGTGATTTAGTGGATAATTGCTAGCAATTTAAAATTTAAATGATAATCATTATATTGTTGATAGAAATAGATAATTTTGAAAATCAGAAAGAAACTAATCTATGTGAAACTAACACCCCCCCCTTTACAAAAATTAGCCACAGAACTCCTTAAAAAATAAAAATGAGCACATAGCATAATGACCTTCATCAACATAAAAATTTGAAAGTAAAAATACGTTTTCTTTTTCATA